TCTTAATGACAAAAAAATTTAACTACAAAAATACTATGCTGTGTTCGCTTTGATGACATTTAAGTTGTTTATAAAAAATTTGTTTTCGTGGCAACATTTTGATACCACCTCATTTCTTTTATTTAATAATTTCATTTTTGATGTTATTATGTGATACTTTTTAGTTAGACAAAGGTTGCATGATTTTCCTCATTAGTTTAAAGGGTTGCGCTTTGTCGACAATGTTATAATAGGATTTATACATTCCTTTTTTTTAATTTCTCACATAAACTTGGAAACCTCTATTGCTTTGCTTTCGTATTGTCGTATTGGAATGAGTTTTTGTGTTTGTATCAACAATCTTTAAAAATATTCTCTGTTAGTCCAATATTGAATCAAATATGTTTTTCTAATATCAAAAATATTATTATATAAAGTGTTAATACCAGATAGAAAATTTTTATTGCTCACAATAAAAATTTTCTATCTGGTATTAACACCTCAACCAACCAACTGACAAAAAACTTCCTAATGACCTTTGGAAGGAAAATGCCTCAAAAAAATATAGTATTCTGCTGTTATGTAAAAACTTCACCACAAGATAGTGGATTCAATTTATAGTGGACTAACAGAAAATACTTTCAAAGACCGTTGGTACAATTACAAAAACTCATTCTAATACGAAAGCAAAGCAATAGAGCTTTCCAAGTTGATGTGGGAAATTAAAAAAAGGAATATACAAATCCTATTATAACATAAAATCGTTGACAAACCGCAACCCTTTAAGCTAATGAGAAAAATCATGTAACCTTTGTCTAACTGAAAAGTATAACATAATAACATCAAAAATGAAATTATTAAATGAGTATCAAAATGTTGCCATGAAGACAAATTTTTTATAAACAACTTTAACATCATCAAAGCAGACACAACATAGTATTTTTGTAATTTTTTTGTCTAATTTTTTTATTATTCAACCCATTTTGGACCTTGGTAAATTAGTAATTATTATGTGTAAGTCACCGGTATACTGTTTCTATGGAGAATGAACATTTATTTTGGCTCATATTTTAACTTTTTATCATTTTTTGTGATAGTAACTTATTGTATATTCTATTGAAATCTATTCTAGTCAGTATTATTGTTTATTAGTTCACATTTAAATGGCTGAAACGAAAGACATTAATCCAAGAAAAGCATCTGTTGTTATTGCTTATGCAAATGATGGCATATCATATCAGAATATTGCTGAAAAAACGGATATTCACAAATCTACAGTGGGTCATATTGTAAAGAGATTCATTGCAATGAGTAGTAGCAACCGCAGAAAAGGCTTAGCAAGGCACAGAAAGACCAGCCGACGCATTGACAATGCCATTAAACATGCAATAGTTACTGATCAATGTGGTGTATCAAGCAAAATTGCTGCATCCCTGCCTGTTGGGGTTAATGCTCATACCGTTCATCAATGACTTGCGGATGACTTCTAGCTACCTCAAAGAACACCTGCCAAGAAACCATTGCTGAATGATGTTCAAAGGAAGAATCGAGTGCTATTTTTCAAGAAGTACTTACATTGGATGCCTGCCCAGTGGGGAAAAGTACTCTTCAGTGATGAGGTAAGGTTTTGCCAGTTTAATGTGTTTGGGTTACTAGAGTTAAACGTCTATCTGGTTAAAGGTACGAACTACGTTACACCGTGCCAACCATGAAACATCCACCAAAAATTATGGTTTGGGGATGTATGTCTGCTTCTGGCACTTTACAGCATACATTTCAAAGGGGAAACTGTCAATGCCGCCAAATACACATCAATCTTAAAAAACAAGCTAAAAACCCATCATGGCCATACAGAAGTGTAATATGTTCCAGCAGGACTCGGCTCAGTGTCATACTGCCTAAGTAGTAACCACTTGCTTAAGAAAAACAAAATAAAGCTTCTAGACTGGCCTGGAAACTCTCCTGACTTAAATCCAATTGAGAATCTTTGGTGTATCATGAAGAAAAAAGTGTCAATCCATGCTCCATCGATTATGCAAGATCTGACTTATGTATTGACTTAGTTTGGTGTATTGAAATAACTGTTAAATTGTGTAAAAATTTAGTAGACTCTTTAGACATGCTAAAGAGATTAAAACTAGTGCTTAAACATAAGGGTGCTGCTACAAAGTTTTAAATTGTTTGTTTTTTGTCCATCAAAGTTTTTATTAGTGCTGTATGTATAATTTTAATTAAATTTTTGAGTGTTTACTTTTTTGACCATGATGCCTGTTTTATTAGTAGAATTTTATTTAGGGGTTGCTCAAGTGTCTTAATTTAGACTTTTTTTTAACCCTTTTTTAAGCCTGTTTTTAGCATAATTGAGCTAGTTAACTCTTAAGAAAAAAATAATTCATTTTTTTCTTAAGAGTTATTTCTCAGTTAGAAAAAAAAAAAAAAAAATTACATGGTAATTTTATTTGCAATTTTTAAATGTAAAATCTGACTACAATTTTTTAAATAGATGCAATTTTTTCAAATTTTTGCGTTTTGCTGTAATTTTTTAGAAACAACATATAACATAAAACGTTTTTCAATTTCAGTTGAATAACTTTCTAATGATTGTTAAATCTAGTGATTGTTAACAAAAAAATCACACAACGCAACAAAAAACTAGTTAGGTCACTTTTGAAGGTTTTTAGTACATCTTATCCTTTGAATTCAAATATCAAATTAGTTTTTGTTTAGCGTCTCTTGATGTTTTCATATTAAGTTTTATCTGTTTTACTAAAATTTTTATTCTCTATAAATTTGATAAAAGTTTTTTTTTTTAATGAAACTGTTTTGCTAGCATCTGGTCTTTTTTGTTTTAGATATTCTTTATCATAATTGTGTCATTTTATCAAAATCTGCAGACTTGTTTAATTATATTTGAGGTTACTATATTTAGCTAAAACAGCCAAAACATCAAACTATTGTGTGGAAACTAGCTATAAACAGGATATGCTGTGTACTTTGGAATCCAAATAGAGGGGTAGTTATAGGGTGATCAAAAAATCATGAAGTTTGCCATTTCTTGCATGTGGAGAGAACCAACCAATCACACTACAGAATGTTACTTCATTATGATTAATATATATTAAGATAATAAAAAATTATAAATAGATCAAATCTTAAATATCCTGATATTTTGTTATCAGTTGCACCAGTTCTACATATTGTACAGCCAGTTCCCATTCCACCAATCTCATCATCAAATCTTACCCATAAGTTCGGTAAGATTTGATAATGAAAAATAATCTTACTGATAGTTCTACAGATGTATCTGAAGAATGACATCCATCACTTTTCAAACAGCCACATTTTCCTAAACAAAGCAAAATGGATGATTTGGTATGTGACCTAGATTTACCAAGCTATTTTATAACAATAAAATAGTTTATATAAAATTTATATACAAAATTATTTTATATTAGTAAGTCTAGAGCTGAAATATTGACATCCAGGCTCAAACAATGGAGCTTATTGGATTCGACATGCAAGATTCCAAAATACAGTAAAAAGACATCAGTCTTTTTCTTAGTTTTATAAAGTTTTGATTGTTTGTGTTTCTGCTAGGATGTTAATGATTTTTTGAGCACAGAGCTAACAGCTTGTAAATACACAGTAATTTGTGATAGTTTGATTTTGACAGAGAGTATTTTGCCAAACAATTTGTTAAAGCACTGGATTTACAGTCACCATATTTCCAGTACATATATTGCCTATTTCCTAAGTTGTCAGATGCAAAACTGAAAGCCAGCGTTTTCACTGGACTGCAGATATGTTGCATGTTGGAATCAGAGGGTTTAGAAACTATAATATCTAGTTTAGAAAAAAATGTATGACAGGCATTTAGAAATGTAGTGAATGGATTCCTAGGAAATAACAGAATTGAAAACTACGAAAAGCTAGTAAAGGATTTGGTGACAGCATATCACATCCTTGATGTTGAATGTCATTCAAGCTGTACTTTTTGCACTTTTATCTGGATTTCTTCAGACCAAATTTAAGAAAAGTATCTGCATGGCAAGAAGATTCACCAAGATATTATAGTCATCAATATGATGAGGTGTCATTAAAAACTTTATGTAGAAATTGTTGCAAATCCAATATTCTGGGCCACAAGAATTCTGTGATCATTGGAGTTAAGCTTGAAGCTTTTGGTCTATTGAAATTCATACAATTAAGAACCTTCATGTTGGCTCTTATTTTGATTAATGAATATTCATCAACACCATGAAATTCATGGCTGGATAGTTATTGTGGAATTTCTCTTTTTTCTTTACATTTTTTATCAGCTAGTGTTAGCACAATAAAAAGTCCAAAAATCATGTGTGTTATTATTTATTTAAAATCTAAATATTTACTGATATAAAGCAAATTACTTACTTTTGCCATAAAGCTACAAATTCAGATATTTAGCAACTTTAACTTTTAGCTATGTAAGTGTGCTGCCCATGAGTTATTCTTTACCCAACAGCTGTATGAGCAATTCTCTTGAGAATATCTTTTGGAAGTAGAACAATATCAGGGTTTTAGAGTTTCTTTTTCAATTTTTGATTGTAGTATGGGAAATCATCATTGTCTACTTATTTCTTGGAATCATTTGAGCTGAACTCACTGTCAGACATATTTTATTTTAAACTTAGATAGACTCCTGTTAACAGATGAAAGGTATCTATACCACCTACTGTAGCTTTTATCTCTCCTAGTTTGTCCATCAATACTAGCAATTTAAAACAATTAAAATAATACGAAAGTACAATAAGGTCTTACAATGGTCTTACCATATGACATTGTTGTAAGACTCATTTTTTCTAATTCCGAGAGTTATATATATATATATATATATATATATATATATATATATATATATATATATATATATATATATATATATATATATATATATATATATATATATATATATTTATTTAAATACAATCAAAAAATGTATATTCAATATTATAAATACAATTAAAAAAAAATGTATATTTTAGATTTTACCATATCATCATATTGTCTGTCATCGAAAACTGCATGGTCGATGTGATGGCTGTGGGAAAAATATTCAATCCATGTTGTCTTATAAAACACAACGAGAGTTTATCGCAAGTACATGTTCTTGGTGCAAATTAGCTTATCACACTAACTGTTCTCCTAAAGATATACTCAAGTCATACTGTAATTTGGGAACTCATAAAAATGTTATATTACCTCCATCTTGGGTGGTAAAGTTACCACCACGTAAAGTTAGTTTTTTTTAAATTTTGCATTTTTTTGTACCTTAAATATAAAATAACTGCTCTTATTGCTACAAAGAAACAATATATTTAATTTAGTTTTTAGTTTTTGTTTTGTAAAACTTTGGTTATATATATATATATATATATATATATATATATATATATATATATATATATATATATATATATATATATATATATATATATATATATATATATACATATACATATACATATACATATACATATACATATACATATACATATACATATACATATACATATACATATACATATACATATATATATATATATATATATATATATATATATATATATATATATATATATATATATATATATATATATATATATATATATATATATATAAAATATATATATATATATATATATATAAAATATATATATATATATATATATATATATATATATATATATATATATATATATATATATATATAAATATATATATATATATATATATATATATATATATATATATATATATATATATATATATATATATATATATATAAAAAAGTATATTTAAGTTTAATAAAATTAAAGTTAATACTTTGGTTTAACTTAACTGTCAAATTTATTTAAAAAAATTATTAAATATTGTTCAGTATTTAAATTTTATTTGATCTTTAAAAACATCAGCTCATTTTTATCACAATTATTTTTTTGTTTCCTAAACAAAAAAATAAACAGTTTTTTTTATTACTAAAATTTGAATTCCTTGTAAATATGTTCGCAGGCTGCATCCAAAGTTTTAAACTTTTTTTTACAAGAAAAGAAAGAAATTTGTTTAAAAATTTTTAAAAATGTAATATTAAGTTTAATTATTTAATATAAAAAAAAAAAAAAAACTAAAAGAAATTAAACATTATATAGTAACATTTCTACATTTGTTTATTAATTATTCAAATCGTTTTGTGGTAATAATATTGCAATAGTTTAAAAAAGTTTCTTTAAAATAAAATCAATATAAATGTTAATGTTTATTAATAAAATTTTAAAAAACTTTGTTTTTTTAAAAAATTTTATAAAGATACTTACTTTTTAAAAAGAAGTTTTCAAATAAAAAAAGAGAGAGACATCAAAGCTTAAACTTACAAGGAGACTTCAAAGCCTAATTGAATCATGGTTTACAAAAACAACACATGTTGCATTTTTTTACTTTTTGATTTCAATGGAAAAAATTTTCCTTATGTGCAGAATTTATGATATTCTGTAAAAATCAGACATGTTCCATAGTACCTTTCGTCATCTACAAATACACGATTTTACATGTATTTGTCTGTAAGAACAACTCATGTGTTGCACTTATGTTGTTTTTACAGACCAATAAGTTATTTCACATATTTCATTAAAAATTGGCTGTGTTAACAATAATTGTTTATTAATAATTAAAAAACACTATTTATTTATAAAAATGTTTATTATTGACATTTCATATTTTGTCTAAATAGTTGTTGCTGAATAAGGTTCCTCAAAGTTTAAATCGTGTCAGAACAGAAATGATATAATGGATATTGACAAAAAAAATAAAAAAGAGATAATGCGTGATCATGGCTGTATATGCAGATTGCATTGTTACAACAAAGTGACGATGCAAGTGTGTATTAATACTATTGAACAAATAAATGTATTTGACTCTAAAAATGAATTTGTATTTTATTGGATTGTTGTCTGATAAGAAAATAACTAGAAGAAGATTAAATACATTTATTTTATTTCTCTAAAGAAAAAAATCAATTTATTATAGTATTGAACTGCAGGGGGAAAAAATGAAGTTTTGCATAAACGTTTATATCATTATATGGAATAACACCAAACTGGTTGATAGATTTCAAGGTTTGTGATAAAACGCAAGTAGATATGAGAGAAGAAAAAAAAAGAAAATTTCATTTTATGCTTTTGTCACCCCCAAAAAAATGTTTGCAATAAATGCAAAGAATTAGGCTGAATGAAGGGCATGGGAGAAAGTCTCCAGACAAGGTTTGCACATTCTTGCTTTATTATATGAAGAACAAACTGATACCAAAAATAAATAATCTTATTTTATTTAGTGATTCATGTGACGGAGTGAACAAAAATCTAGGGCTCGGAAATATTTGATTAAGAAGAAACTGTTAATATCATAAAATGGCCTAATCAACATAAAATTGTTCAAGAGCTTTCACCAATCGAAATAATCAAATGGCGACGGGAAGAAACAGGCTTAAATACTTCTTTTTTCTGTCCCACTTCAGCCCAATGGAAACATTTTTTTGAGGTACATTTCAAAATTAGGGCTTCTACAAAGCAATTTCTACTAAAAAGAAGGGATTAAATTTAATTTTTTTACATTAAATAATAGTATTTGGATACCACTCCTAATTAGAAATTTCAAACTGTCCCACTTCTCCCCACTCTCTTCTATTATATGAAAACTGTCCAGTCTTTGAAGTTGAAAAATCTATTATTGAAATGATTTGTTCGTCAGCTAAAGCAGAAAGAACTTGGTTGATTTTTTGATTTATTCATGATTGAGAAATCTCTTGACAAACGAACGTGTAAAAAATTAGTTTTCATAGTGTTTTAATGGATACAAACAATAAAAAGGGCTACATTTTAGAGGAAGTAGCAGTTCTCAGCAAGTTTGAGTGTGAAGAAATTTTAAATGAGCAAATGTTATACAAAAATAAATTAAATTGTTAAGTTTTGCAACATAAAAATTTGTTTAAAAATCATGAAAATAATTTGAAATATTTACAAATGAAATTAATTCCAGAAAATCGAATGAAAAGTTATTTATTTTAATTTAAAATCACCTGCATTTGATTTAAAAACATTTTCTTCTATATTTGACAATATTTAATTAATTTCATATAGCATTTATCTGTTAAATTTGTATGTGCATCACATGCATATTATGTGCATAATTATGCGCTTAACTTTTGAATGATATGCGCATATATTTGTCGGTATGCACATAAGTTATGAACCCTACAAAAATCATATATTATTAAGATTTTTAATGAATTTGTCAGCCTTCCAAAACACCACGCATTTCCCAATCACAGGTCATCTATTTTTACCGTGTGATCAAGACTTTAGAAATATATAAGGTTGATCCGTTGTTTTGATCGAGTGTATACTACTTAGTAATACATGGAGCTTATCATTAGAGCAAGTAAGCTCAATAAATGTTAATAAATATTCTGTTACTAAATGTTCTGTTAATAAATGTTCTGTAAATAAATATTCTGTTAATAAATAGATAATGAATGCAAAAGATATTCTTTTCTTTAAGTTATGCCAAAAAAAAAATACATTAAATAGGCCAAAAAAATTTGAAAAATAGAAATTACAATAAAATATCTGGAAGAGACATTAAAAAAAAAAACAGAATTCTTTTCTGAATATCAAAATTTTTCCTGTTTGACCAATTTGGGTAAAATATAAACGAAAGAATGGATAAATGGTTTTATCATTAATAATTTTAGTATAGCCTATTTTACCAAACTTTAACTTGCTTGTCCTAAATATGTTGAATAGTAGAGTTTGTATATTATATGCTTTGTTTCATTCTTTCTTACTATCTATTAAATGACTTGCATTTTTAAAAATAAACTTGTTAAGTTCAAAATACTGTTGTACTTTTTTTTGAAGTTAGTGATGGTCAGCAAAATCCACACACGTGCATTTTATAAATAAATTAATAAAAAATTAAATATTATATTAATATTAGTAAATTTGCTTGCAAGCAGGACTATTGAGGCTTTATAAATAAAATATCATTTGTAGCAATTACCATTAAGTTTAGAAATAAGTTGTTTTTTTTAATTATTTTACTTTTGATTTTGTAACATGTGTGGTTTTTTACATATCATGATTTAATTGCAAAAAGTAAACTTTGATAAGTTTTTCTTTAGTTTCCTTAATTTGTTTGAATTAGTGTAATTTAGTTTTTACTTGATTACAATAGTTTGATTTACCTGATTACAACAGTTTTATTTACCTAATCGCAACAGTTTCATTTACCTTATCACAACAGTTTTATTTACCTGATCACAACAGTTTCATTTACCTGATCACAACAGTTTCATTTACCTGATCAAAACAGTTTTATTTACTTAATCACAGCAATTTTGATTGGTTTGATCACAACATTTTATCTGAAATCAACTTGCGTATGGACTGTCATTTTTAGCAATAATAATAATATAAGTTTGAATTTTTTACTTTGTTTTACGTTTTACATTTGCATATAATTTAATCATTTTTGTTTAAGTACTCGCAGACTAATAGTAAACGAGGACGAGGAGTTTCAATGCGTAGACATTCTAGTAAAGAACGAAGAGCATTTGTTGTAAGTTCTCATTTTTTATATATAAAAAGAATACCAATAAATCCTATTTTTAAATACTTTTTTATAGTTATAAAGTTGTGTTTTATTTAGATAAAACTTGTTGATGCAAATAATAAAGTTCTATTTTTAAATATTTTTTTTATAGTTATAAAGTTGTGTTTTATTTAGATAAAACCTGTTGATGGAAATAATAAAGTTATGTTACTTGTTTTTGTAAATCCTAGAAGTGGTGGAAATGAGGTAAACCCACCCTTTAAATTACAGTAAAGATTTTTCTGTTTTTTTAAATATATTTTTAATATTAAACTCAATGGATTTTTATAGAATACTATATAACAATATAAATAGTTTAAAATTTTGAAGTCAATTTAGTTGTAATTTTTATGTCAAAAATTTAGGGTGCAAGAATTTTAGAAAAATACCAATATTTATTAAATCCCAGACAGGTAAAATGCAATTCATATGTGTATCTTCACTTGTTTTTGTTTGTTTTGTTTGAAGAAAAAAAAAGTAACTTTGAAGTAAATGTTAATAAGTAAAGATACGTTGTATGATATTCTTGTCATGTCTTTTCAATGTTTGTATAGAAACCAGATGTTGTATATTTGTTTAAGTTTCTAAAACTTTAAATAAAATAAAATAAGGCTAAAATCTAAACATTTAATTTTAAAATTATGTTTTTTACTAATATAAGAATATAATTCATTTTACTTTTGAATGTTATTGAATTTTTGAAGTTCTTAGCTATTTAATTGTTGCAGTCTTTGTTGATCATTTTTTAACTAAATTTAAAATGAATCCCATTTATAATTTAATTTAAATTTTAAAGTTTTGTTATCTTTTATTTTAACAACGAAAAGTGACTTCAATAAAATCATACAACATTACTGTTTTGAGCAGAAACTCTATTCAAATTTATTTAAATTTTGAATGTGCAACCAGTTTTTATTTACTTTTTTATTTAAATTTTACGATGTGCAATGTGTTTATTAAATGTGCAGTTATTTACTTTCTAATATAAATTTTGTCAAAAAAGTTTATTTTTTGTTTTCTTTATACTTGTAGGTCTTTGATTTATCAAAAGGTGGTCCTAGGTTTGGGTAAAAAAAGTTAATATATTGCATTTATATTTTTTATCAAATACAATTAGTTTTTTATTTATTAACAAATAAAATGTTTAATGTCTGAAATGTTTCTATTTTCTTATAAATTTTTGGTAAAAATTGCTATTGATTTAAAAAATTATGTTAATTTTATATTTATATAATTTTTTTGTTAAATTAATTAGCAAGTATTACTTTTGAGAGGTTTATAAATGTATATATTTTTTAATATTTGTTTTGAAACATTCTAACGTTCCAGTCATTTTGTAGTAATGTAACTTAATTACTGACAACTTTTTGAAAAATTCTCTTATATTGATGTACATATTTCAGTAGTTGAACAGCTATTTAGAAATGTCAGTTAATCATTTTATGTTAAAGTTATTTTAAATTCTTTAATTACAAACTTGAAAATTTAGGAATTTTTTTTTGAACATATAAAATGTGATATTCAAAAAGTTAATATTATAGTTTAAAGTAGAATTGAGATATTCAATTGAAAATTGTGTTGTATCCACTATTACTAGAAAAAAATACCTAATCTTTGACAAATCAATGAATAGTTATGATTCTTTTGTTTATGTAAAACTTTATAAGAATTTATAAAAAGTTTCTATAAAATAGATTTATTTATTATTTTTTAATTTTACAACAGATTTACTAAATTTTAAACCTTTTGGGCTTTTAGATATTTTATTAAATACTTTAAAATATCTTAACAGTTGTAAGTTTTTTGGGTTTTTTTGGCTCATCTTTAAAATTTTATATAAAACAATAAGATGTGAAAGATGATGTTGTAATTATGTAAAAAATGAAAATGCAAAAAAAATATTTAAACTTTATTTTACTTTTATTCAGTTTTTAAAAACTTTAAAACGTTACATTTTTATCCAGTGTAAATTTTTAAAACTATTCACTCTTAAACGCTTTACATTTTTCAATACTACTTTTTAGACTTGAGTTATTTCGTAAAGTACCTAATATTAGAATACTTGTTTGTGGAGGCGACGGAACTGTGAGTATATTTCTCTACTAAATTGCTAAAATTTATCTATTGTTTATGCTAGAATATTAAAATTAATTTCAAAAGTATCGTTTATTCTATTTATTTGATTGATCTTTTAAAATTGAGTTCTTAAAAAGAAAGCAAAGTAGCACAATTTAGCTTTATATGCATTGTTTTTATGAGTGTGTTGGTCTACACACTACGCCAGAATGCTGTATAGATCTTTAATGTTTTGGCTTTAAGTTTTTCATAAGTTTTTTTGTAAATTTTATTGATTGCATTGGACTTCAAGCTTATAATAAGTAAAATTAAACATGGCTTCATGAATCAAATTTCGATTGTTTATTAGTTGAACCATGGACTCTTAAATTATATAATACAAGTAAATAGATTAATTTAAAAGCAATAATTTGCCAGTTTGTGATACAATTTTTTTAAAAATTTAACGCTTTGCAAAATAAAAATAAAATTTTAAAACTATTATTAAAATATTATTTTAAAGGTTTGCTCACTAAACATTTGTCTCTCTAATGTTTTCTTTGAAAATGTTGGGTATTTTATAAAATCGGTATTTACAATAATTAAATTATTAAACACTTTAAATGTAATTGTTTTACTTTTAAAAATTAAAAAATTAAATTAAATTTTTAGCTGTAGTTTTTTAAATATAAAATTGTTTGATCCAAACCACGTCTCTGGTAGTACCACGCTTAACTTGTTTCTCCACACAGCGACCTTGTTTGTCAAGGTTTGTGTTTTGCACAGCAACCTTGTTTGTCAAGTTATAGAGTTGAGAGAGAGTTATAACCACAATTAACTAACCTCCTCTGTAGTGACCTTCTTGGCCTTGTGGAGGCAAATTAACATGAAAATAAAATATAAAAATAAAATTCAATATTAGTGCTCTTCTTAAATCAATATTTAAATAAATATTTAAATTGCTTAATCTTTTTTAACAATTTAATTTTATAGCCTTGTGACTAGTGATCTATTGAAATTAAGTAAATTGTTAAATTTGTGAAGATTTATTAAACACAATTTTTTTTTATTTATAAATTTTTGTTAAAACATTTTTTTACCCTGAATTGTTTTTAATCAATGTAGATTTTATCTACTTTTTTTTTAAACATCTTTACTTGTAATAAGGCTAAAACAAGATAAAAAGAGTTTCGAAGAACTAATGTTTGAGGAAAAAAACTAGACAAATAAGAATTTTTGTAGCACTTAGTCACAGTAAAAGGATGAGACTTTATTGAATGACAAATAACACAAAAATGAACTTTAGTAGATAGCACAAGAGACACTAACTCTTTAGAGCAGCACCTATTATAGTATTTATAGGTTAAAAAAAAGAGAAGCAACATTATGATGATGTGACAATGGTTTAAGGTTCACTGCATAAGCAGGCTCAACTATGTTTACAATGCGTTATTGCACCTTGTCTGAAAGAGAAAGGGCTTCATTCCAAATATTAACAATTAACATCAATGTTAGTTGCTAACATTTATATATCCAGCTAATCATGTTTTTGCTTACTTGATCACAAGTGCTTAACCAAATGAAGATGTAAATTTCTTATTTTAATTAATTTAGTTTTAAACAAGAAATTTTTTTAAAAGTAACAATTATGTGTTTTTTATGAAACAAAGTGTTTTTATTACAGTAAATAATTTTTTTACAAAAATATATTTTTCTTGGGTTTTGATTGAGGGAAGTAGTTTGCAGTTGTAGTTCAGTACAGTTGTAGTTTAAAGTATCACTTATGAAGTTACCTATTGTTATATTGCTTTTTTTTATTAAACAAATAAACTTTAAAAATTAAGAAAATTAAATGTTCTTATTTTTGGTATGTTGTTGTTTTGGTATAAAAAACAATATTGTTGAGTTTTGTTTTGTTAAGCATGAGTTTTAAACCAAAAAAAAATTAAAAGTTATTATATTATTATTATTCATTAAAATTTCTTGTTTTTGTTTTTGAAACTCACTGAAAAAGATAAACTTTTATCATTCATTTATGAACTACTTCAGAAGAAAAAACACATTTATAATTTGCTTTTTAAAAAAATCCCTTATAAGCTTTTTAGAGCTAGCATGCAGTACTGATTGTTTTACTAAACTTTGACCGCAAACATAATTATGAAATGTTTTTTTTTTTAATGAAACTAGAAGAGGTACAAGTTTCAAAAAAAAAAAAGTTATTTTAATATTATTTTATAATTTAGGTTGGCTGGATTTTATCAGAAATTGATAAATTGAAGGTTTGTCCTGCTCCACCTGTTGCTATTTTGCCTTTGGGCACTGGAAATGATCTTTCAAGGTTTCTTGGATGGGGATCTGTAAGTTAACAAATTAGTTAATGAGTTTCAAAAAATAGAAGCTTAAACAAATTTTTTTTAAGATACATAATAAAAATAAACTTTTTTAAAAATCAGTTCATCTCTGTAAAAAAATTTGTTTGCAACTTTTATGATAATAACAATTTTTTCATACCATTTTTGTTTATTTTTCAGTATCAATTTTTTTTTATTTCTTATTATGCTACTTTATTTTACAGTTATATATGTTAATAATATATATTATTATTGTATATTATATCAATATATTATTTTTTATACTTAAAAATTTTTATATTATTTGAGTTTTATGTGTATTGTATAAATTTTTTAAAGGGGTATACAGATGAACCCTTAAGCAAAATTCTTACTCATGTGGAAGAGGGAGAAGTTCAAAAATTAGATAGGTATCACTATTTGATTATATTCATTAATATTGAATGAAGTTCCAATATTCCAACATTCATTCTTTGTAGATGGTCTATTGATGTTATTCCTTATGATGTTGCACCAGAAAATTGCAACGAGAAAGATTCTGAAGACAACTCAGTTTCAAAGGTGTTATACAAAATTTATTTTATATGATATTTTATATGCTAGATCATACATACATACATACATACATACATACATACGTACGTACGTTGAATTAAATGGTCCGCTTTTTATCATTTATATTAAAGTGTTGTAATTAGTTATAAATTTAAACTTCAAACAAATATTTTAGCTTTTAAAATTCCTTTTAAACTTATTTTATAAAAATTTTAACCTAATAGTTATTTTAATGCTTATAAAAACCAGTACTTTTTATTACACTATTACGTTTGAGTTGTTATGCAATGTTTGTTTTGCGATTAAAAGGGTTTATAAAATTAATCCTAGATAAAGTTTGAAAAACTGTATATAAAAATAAATATTTATATAAATGTAATTACTTAAAATGTTCTTTGATAATTTAAATTAAATGGGTTTATTGAAAACATAATAGTTATTTAGTTAGTTTATTTAATCAAGTTGATAAGTTAACTTAATAATATATATATTTAATATATTTACATAGTAATTTATCTACTTAATAATAATAAGTTACTTTTCTTATACATTTGTACAAAAAAGTTCGTTATTTCGAGCTCTGTACATACATACATACATACATACATACATACATACATACATACATACATACATATATACAAACATACATAGTTTATGCATAGCAAATAAATGTCAAATATGTCTGATAACGTTTTATAGTTACCATTGTCTGTAATGAACAACTACTACAGCATGGGAGCAGATGCTGATGTTTGTTTAGAGTTTCATGAGTCTAGAGGTTTTTGTTAAGTTCTTTGTATTTATTTCAAGTGCTAATTAATGATTTTTGTTGTTAAATTAAAAAGTCTACTAAGTTCGTTAAAAATCTATGAATTAAAAATTTGATTTTCGATGTATGATATTTAGAGGCAAATCCTGAACGATTCAAGAGTCGATTAAAAAATTTATATTTTTATGGAAAGGTATTTTTTTTTTTTTTTTGCATTTTGATTTATGTATTTGTAAAATTTCTTTTTACTAACATCATTCACTATATTTTGACTTTTTCAATTGCCTTATTGTTTGAAATGTGTTTCAACAAAACAAACAAATTTAAAAAGTGCTTCAATTCAAAATAAAGTGGGAAAACTGTTTTATTGCTCTCCTTTTTTTATTTAGAAAGGAAGCGAGACAATTATTCGTAGAAAAAGCAAGGCTTTATATAAATGTATTGAGAATATAATTGTAAGAAAATTTATGAGGTGTTTTTCTTTTATTGTTTTATTATTGTTTATAATTAATGAATTTAAAATATTTAATGTTTTCAAATTTGAAAAGTAAATAGAGAAAGTAAATTCATCAGAAAAATATGTCAAATGGAAAATTTAAAAGGTGTCAATATATGTTTCGAATTTTGCTGGGTTTTGTGCAGTTTAAAGAACCTAATAAAATAAAAACTTCAAGAAGATTTCAGCATTTAGTACTTATACATATTTAAAGGATTCAAATAAGCCAACTTTAAAATTATGTGTTCTTTTTGCTGAAATTTTTTTACCTGGCTTTTTTCTAGGGTGATGAATTCAATAATCTGAGACATTATAATTTATCATTAAATACCTCTAATTTTTAATTTACATAATTTTATGAAGTTTTTATACTTGATGGCATAAAAAAAGTCTGTTGTCATTAAAAGTTTAATAAAAAATTATTATAATTACGTAAAAACCAATTTAATACTTTATTTACCCAAATGTTTAAGAATTTAAAAAAAATGTATGTAGATAATTATGTTGTATAAAATGATAAGCGCAAAGATAAATGTTTACAAATAAAAAAATTTAGAAAAAGTGTTAAGTTTGTGTTAAGATGACATTTTAACTATACATTTGTCTAATTACAGCTGCATCAACACTACAAATTATGTTGTTAATCATAATGAAAAAAAGGTAATTTGGTATATTAATCATACCAAATTATATTTTTTTATGAAAATAGATATTGTAAAAGTTTTTGTGGTTTTTTACTGTGCAGCACAACCATCTAAAAATAAAGAATCTTTGAAATATTAGGATGATATTCTTTTAAATAATTTACTCTGTCTCTGAATTTCATACATAAAACATGTCATGCTTATTGCCTTCTGTCATAATGCAAAATAGTTTTACTTTAAGCTGACCATTTTCCTTTAACAGATCAAGGGCAAAGCGGTTTTATATACATTTACTTTTGCTCCATTTGTAATTTTGTTTTTTTTTTACCTTGAATCACTAACATTGTTTTCTACATCGTCATCCATAGCAATATAGCAGACAATTAAATTTGCTGTCATTGTATATATTGTTGAATTGATATGTTTTTCCTTTTTTAGTTTAGAGCTGCAAATATTCCTTTTTTTCCTTTTGGTTTGTGGGCTTTTTTTGTTTTTATTCAGAGACGTTGAAATACCTGGCAGCACATTTTTATTTTTTAATTCTGTCTCACTAATATTATACACTATTCAAATATGAAAACTGGTTTCTTGATTGTTTTGTTGAATCTAGTCTTACTACATGACCAGCTGAAATAAAAAATTTGCTTTGTGGTTATGAAGTTTCAATATCCCAAAGCGTACCCAAAGCTTTTTTGTAGCTCCATAAATATATTTTGACTTAATTAAGTATTGTTACTTGTTCATAGTTATATGAAAATAAAATGATTACAATATCTTGCTTGTTCATAGTTATATATCATAGTTCATAGTTTTATATCATAGTTCATAGTATACAAATTTATAAAACCAAAATTAAATTAAAAACATTACATTAAAAAGTTTAGATATCTAACAAAAAAAAGTTTAACTGGCAGCCATTTTTGTTGGTAATAATGCAAGACTAAAATTTTTAACTAATTTTTCTAAA